TTTGAGCATTAATTACTGCGCTTGCTCAAAACGGACCGACTATTTCAAACTTATAATCAGAAATAACAAGTACCAGTTTTCCTTCAAGTTTTCTTTACCATATTTCGTTAGTGGGGTCATAATCGGAAAAAGTCATATTAGTATTTGCCAAAGGCCCGCTAGCGCGGAGTGATAACACGGTTTCACACAAAATCATAGTACAATAACGACTGCGTTATGTTTCGCTATGTAAATAAGGTAACTGGAAGCCCATTCTGCCCCACCCCGTCTCTGATATCGTTTCTCAAACCCTGAAAAATTGGCAACGTACTTGTTACTACTTGATTTGACGGGTGTCCATGGGCAGCGTCGATGGCTTACCATCAGGTAATAAAAGGCCTATTTATCATCCGTGTGATTGTCCGACTGTCCTGTCAAGTCGAACTAGTGCATACAAGACAATAGCGTGTATGATTCATGAGCTTAATTAAATTAGCATCCATGTTAATAATTGTAAACGTTTTATATTTATACCTACCTGAAATATTTCAGAATGTTCGGTAACAAAATTAAATTAATTTCAGTGTAATATTTTATCACAATTTCGTGTTAGCGACGTTAACAGTCATTTTGTATATTTGATTAATTATATAACTGTAGTTAAATGAGTATGGTGTTGGTGATATGGATAAGCAGATCTGCCTAATTACATGTGTATGCATGGATCACACAAATTACAGAAGAAAGTCGCAAAAAATATTTCTATACAATACTCTACATATTAATAACACTTTAATAATACATGGATTGGTTTAATACGCATGTTCAAAATAGCAGTTTAAATGGCTCAGTTTTATCAGAGTGTGAAAGTGCTATGCTTCGGCACAAACGAATAGGCTCGACCGGAACGATATTTTGGTTTTACAGAATACCGGCGTGAAGCATTGCCTTAAGTTTTTGGCTAGTCATTAGAGTTGCAGGAGCCCTAACCCATCCACTCGATACAGTTACCTCATCCGTGATCTCCAAATCCCCAACCGCACGACCTTAATGATACTACGGTCTCACAAAATACCGGCGTGAAGCAACGCTAGTTTTTGTTTCACCATATGAGTGATTACTGGAGCCCCAACTCATCTCCTTTCACCGTAACCTCATCCATTATCCAAATCTCCAACACATAATAACACCAATTCACAGAATACATGAGGTATATTTGTTATACTTTACGACTAAAATGGCTGCCAAACCACCGGATGGACAGACAGACAGACAGACATGACAAATCTATAACTCTGATGCAAGTAAATGAAACACGAACAAAGATCGTTTTTAAATTTAAACATTAATAACCATGCTACCTCCCCTCCCCTGTTTGTAAAAGGAATCTGTATGTGAAACTGATTTAAAAAGAGTAACCATGGAGTTTCTTGCTCGTTCTCCTCCATCGGAATCTACACTTTGGAACGATCAGATAGCTTCACTAAGAGGACCGACAGACTGACACTATATATTCAAAATTTTGTTTGACGTTCAAAAGTGCCTGTAAAGGTCTAATTGGAATAAATGATTTTTGACTTTTTGACCTCAAAAACCATTTCTATAACAAGACACAATTAACTTCCATAAATAACTTGGAGAACTATGTATGTCGATAAAATGGTTGTCATGTAAAAGTAGGTGACAGCTTGTAGACGTTATGTCTGGAGTCTAGACTAAATATTTAGACCTAGTAATTAGGTTACCATTACATCACTAGCACAAAATAAATATTTACTATCGATCGATGTTTGAACATAGTTAAGGTACTGATTGCCTTTATTGCGATAATGGTTATAAAGTTTTTAATATGCTTTGTGTACTTGGAACATATTAGTTTTGATTTTCAGAATTAGAACACGTTACTAAGGTTTATGTAATTAATTAAAGGTAAAATATTGACATGTCTTTTTATATTAAGTCAGTGACTGCCTTCAGATTACTGTTGAGGCTGAATCCTCAAGCAGGATTTTATTTCATTGAACAATGTCTTGAAATATGAGCCTGTTTGTTTTTTTTTTCGCGTTGTCGCGTTTTGTTTTGCACCAAGAATTTCATCAAAACCGCTATGTAGTGGGATCTTTGCCAAAGCCTATTCACCGTAGGGTAATTTCAATCCTTGAGTGAAGGTTGTTTATTGATAGGCGTGCTGCATTACCGCTTACCGCTAAGTGTGGGAGAGCCATGTTTCAGCACGAATGGAGCTGGAGATGACCAGCGTGATACCACGGCCTCACAAGAAACCGGCGTGTAACAACCACAACGTTGTGTTTCGCCATATGAGCGAGGTTACTGGAGGCCAAATCCTTCCCCTCCCCCAATCCCTAAATCTCCATATCCCTGATCCCCAAAAGGTCGGCAACGCACTTGTAAATCCTTTGTTGCGGGTGTTCATGGGCGGCGCTGATTGCTTACCATCAGGTAATCAGTCTGCTCGTTTGCCGACCTATTATATGAAAAAAAACACCAGGTGATAAAATGCAGTGGGATGGCATGTTGCAAAAAAATCTTTACAATAGTGTATCAATTATAATGCTCTGGTTTAATATTTTTCGTATACGAACTTCGTAATTCTTGTAACTTGCACCAAGCACATTCAACTAGCCATACGCTATATCATTATGAAACAAAACACTACAGTCATAAACAAAATATTCTCCACATTCTAACAGAATACGAGTGAAGTTTACGACCAAAACTTTATGTATTAAATATATTTACAAATTCATTACATTGTCCTTATTCTTGTTGTGTTAAGGTGTGTTTTTGTAAAGCTTCTTTATTGACATATGACTGTTTTACATTGACTGTTCGTTATGGAGATCTTGGTCCAGTTTTATTTATTTAGGGGTTAATTTTAAGAAGACGGTTAACTTTGTTTGTCTTGTTGGTATAAATTATTATATAAATAGGTGAAAAAGTCTTATGATGCACTGTGAAATATAGCAAAAGATAATATAATATTGCAGTAAGTAGTGTATCAATTAGTCGGTAATATTTATAATAAGTGCTCCAGTAAAATGTGTCATAGACCGAAAGCCATACTCTTTTCGATATAACGAACGTTGTAAACCTCAAACATTTCCTTAATTAATAAGAATAAAATTAATATTATACATTCATGTGACAAGTGCTGCCATCTACTAAGACGTGGTCATAATGTCAAAACCTCATTACGACAACAGGCCACCCCATAACGAGGTTAATATTGTGGTAATATCATTTATGACGCGCTTTTGGTCGTAAATAAGACATTAACAACAAAATTGAAGTAATATTACTTAGATACTGTTATATTAATGGGAAAATAACATAAATCCCTGTGGATCACGAAATGTCTTGATTAGGTACAAGAAAATCTTCAGATATATATCTGTCAAAATGCCAAGGTGGTCCTTACCAATGTGTCTTTTCTGAGTTATGAATGCATTTGAAGATTATTATATTCTTAGACTTGAGTAACATATGGTGAAGGTGTCTTATAATTTTGCAATACGGCGGTGAAGGCGGTGTGGTCTTGATCACCTTCTCAAACCTTCTTCCTGTAAAGATGCTTTTGGTCAAGATGCTAATGTGAGCAGCTGCTGCTGCTGCGTGTGTGTATGATAGTAAAACATGATTCGATTTTAAGTATCTGTTTTTAATCTTAATATCTTGTATATCGGCTTAGTACTGTTCTTCTGAGGCTCTGCTGGCCTCGTCTACATAAGGTTTGGCAAAAGCAGCACGATTAGTTTATCAGGCTTTATTCTAATTTGGTTATTTTCACTTTTGTGCATTTTGGTTCATAGGAACTGCAGTGGTTGTTATAAATGGCGGACTTGTACCAAGGAAGCCTTTAGCAGTCTTATCACAAACAAAGTAACACGGTCAAGGTGAAACAGCACAGTGACGTAACATCACAAAAACTGCATAATAAACTTTCATTTTAAAATTTGACCTTGAGCGAAATTATTTCCAGCTAAATTCACACAAGGGTATGACGCACTGCCGATTATGGCCCATACATTATCCATAGGTTTGTAGGTACACTGTTAAAATGAAGGACGACATTCTAAACTTGGAATATAAACGATGGGCCGACTAGAAAATCGATAAGACCCACCGATGCAGACATATAATAATTTGATGTCGAACTCTATTGGGTAACGATGCCCATAAATCGATTATTTTCTAATTTATTTTACGAGAATCGATTTGTTGACGATTAAGCTTTTGATCGTGTAGGTTGATTGATATCTATTAACTTATATAAGTGGATATTACATGTAATTTTAGGGTTCGGAAGCATGTATTAGCATCGTAATACGCTTACATAAGTTGGGACTATTTTGATCTAGTTACAGTAGTACTCATTGACTATAGGTTCGCGGAGGATATCAATGTTCTGAAGCATGAAAATTAGACAGCTTTTGTAATCAAGACTTTTGAGCAAATTCCAAGTATACATATAGAAAAAGAGTAAGTAGTTATTTAAAATAATAATAATTTAGAGCTATATCGAGCTCATAAACTTCCAAATGACCTAAAAAAACTTAACCTAATGTCTTTTAAAAGGAAATTATTTGAGTAAATAAATGTTATTATTGTATTAAAGATTATTTGGATGACCTATCATAGATTTAGAATAAGTAGTGCATAGTTATAACTAGATATTAAGCTAAATAATTTGTACACCAATTCGGTCGAATGTGTGAGATTCCATACACATAACACAAACACCTATATTCGTACTACATTCTCACAAATAAATATTTTCTTTCTTTCTTTATTTCATTGGTATGCTTTTGGGGAGACCTATGTCCAGTAGTGGATAAAATCAGGCTAATAATGATAATTTCACTATAGTTACTATTCAAAAATGAAAAACGCCAGAAAAAAAAAATCCAGCCTAGTATCGTACGCGAATAACCACAGGTATCTCTAGTTCTATAAATAAGACCCTATTAAAATTCCTCTCACTCTGAAGTTCTGAGGAAAAAATGCGAGGTAAGTTAGTATTGAGTAATCAAGATACCTAGTTGCTAAGGCGATCACGTGCAAACCGCAATTGAGAGTGTTTTGGGATCACCGCCGGCGTAAAAACGCCAGGTTCTTTTACATTAGTAATTTACTTGTAGAAACATAATGTATGGGGGTACAATTTGTTAGCGTTTTAACACCATGTTTCGGTACGAGTGAGTCGGCTCAACTGAAGTGGTGTCACGGTAATACAGAATCCCATGATACAACGCTTGTGTTGCGTTTCGCCATAGGAGTGAGATTGCTGGAGACCCAATTATCTACCTCATATCCTTGTAACCCCTTACCCTTAAATCCCTAACTCCAAAAGGTTTATTATTATTATTAAAAAAAAAACGTTGCTTCACACTAGGATTTTCATTTTCTCCTGTGTCGTGGGTGCGGTTACAAACATACAATTTCACATACACATGACACCCAGACCCGGAACAACAATTTGTGGATCACACAAAGAGTTGTTCCGTGTGGGAATCGAACCCGCTACAGCTACACGTTGCACGGCAGCCAGTTGCCCAGCCACCGCACCAACCGTGCAGTCGAAGGTGGCAACGCATTTGTAACTCAGTGAATGCCAGTAACCCAATTGCTTACCACTAGGTAATCCATTTGCCACTCAATTCAGGGCCGGCTCGACTGGATTGATAATAAGGCCTCACAGAAAACTGGCCTCTAGAACAATCACAGCTTTGTGTATCGCTGTGTGAGTGAGGTTGTGGTTAACAGAGACTCAATCCTAACCAACTTACCAATTCCTAAATCTTCGAAATCCTGATCCTCAAAATGCCGGTACCACATTTGTAACTCTTCTAGTGTGGTTCGTGTCTATGGGTGGAGCCGATTGCATACCATCAGGTAAACCGTCTACTCGTTTACCGAACTAGGACATAAAGAATATTCTGCATATTGTTATCAAATTTGTGGAAAATATAGTACCAAATTCAATATTTTAAAGTTTAAACATTGGTTACACATTTAACTTGGCAATACCTTTACCCTACATCTGTATAAGTAATATCTATGTTAGGACTAGCTGAATGTAGCTTCATTTCAGTAATGGCTCTCTCGATGATAAATCCTCCCTCGTATTTTAATTTATGCAGTAAATTCTTGATTTATTTCTACTTCAATGAATTTGCTTCTCCATGACGTAGTGCAGAGAAATGTTAGTAGGATAGTGAGTTAGTAGGATAGTGAGTTGGTAGGATAGTCCATTTATTTCAATATTATTTTTTTATTTCATTTTTAAACTGATTGTTTTAATAATGCTTGTTGGAATGTACTTAATTTATTTCCAAAAGGTTTAAGCGTGGGAGATATATAATTCCTTAACCCTATCTTTAATCCCTATTATCCTTTAAGTGTAGGTAGTGTAGGAGAGTCATCATTCGGCTCGAATGGATCGGCTCGACCGAATGATACCACGGCCTCACAGAAAACCGACGTGAAACAACCGCACCACGGTAACCTCTCAAGGGGAGGGTAGTCAGGGGTAGGATTGGGCCTCCTGTAACACAACATTTCGCAATGTGAGTGAGGTCCCCAATCCTTCCCAATCCCTAAATCTCCAAGTCCCTAATCCCCATAAGGTTGGCAAAGCACTCGTAACTCCTATTTTGTTGCCCTGGACATCCATGGGCGTAGTCGATTATTTACCATCAGGTAATCCATTACCCATTTCCCGGCCTAAACCATAAAAAATATGTACATTGAAATTCGAGGTCTTGTTCTTTTCATTCTATGTATTATTATGGGTAATTTTTTTCCACAATAGCTGTTACAATTTTAAGTTATTCATTGTTTTTTCCAATTTTATAAAAAAATTGACAATAAAATCTAAAGTTCCTGGCTACCATTAAAAAAATTGTATTTCTCCAACTGTAATAATGTTAGAATTTAAACTCAAAACGCGGGTAGATAAAGTTGATTTATTATTTAATCTGTGGTAATACGGAAGCGCCCGCCAGTCGTAAGTAGAGCAACTTTTTATATGAAACAAGATATAACACGCGTAGACTGCTCTAATTTGCCGGTTTGAAAAAGGAACGGAGTTTATTTTGAATTTCGTTATTTAAAATAAAACGCAATTTTGTTTTTGCCGAGAAGGGTGGTTTTGTATGATGAGATTTATTCAATTATAATTTATTTTTTTACAAAGTTTCACGTTTTGTTACTTATGAATATTAAAAGGAAAAATGACCTTTTGTTTTAAATGAGATTTTACTATTATATTTTGAAATTGCCTAGCGTGTAGATTGCTTAGCGCCAGGTGATCTTAGCAAATAAAATATTTTTCCACCCGCCCCACCCATTGAAGGGCAGAAAAAGTCATTCGATAACTTTCCTCTCACAAAAAAAAACGATACAAAATCTTAGGACGTCATTTGATTTTGCCCATCAAAAAAAGCATAGTCTCTCAGATAACTTTATTAATGACACTATCAGGTGATAATAACACTTTTTAAAAATACTAATGTATGAAATATCGATTGTTACAGAAAGTTCATCCCGTTGCATATAATTGAAGAGGACAGTTACGAGAAGGATGTCTTGTTTTACGTCAACCTCGGCGATCCAGAGTTACTCGGGGGTAAGACATACTATTTTCCATTTTCGTAGGATAATTATATTTTGTACATAATGGATTATAAACTTTAGTTACGTGTAAATAGGAATCTAAATAGACATTTGTCGTTTTTAATACAAGGCAGAAAAAGTCTTATTTATTTTTTTTTTGTCAAAAAAAGAGTCAAAATCTATTATGTACAAAAAAGGTTTTGTATGATATTGTAAGATAGAAAATTTTCAAATTAGGAATTTAAAATCTAAACAAACTAGATATGTTTAGTTTTAAAAGCTTTGTAGCAAAAAGGTTTTATATATTAGAATAGGTGTATAAAATATTTAAATAATCTTTTTCTTCATTTTTATAATTATTAGCATGCTATGCATGTTTTTCATCCATACGAAATTTCCTATTTTCTTAGATAAGCATGAATTTTTTCAATCTATACCTACCTATATGCATGATGTACAAAATAGATAGTCTTGCATATGGCTATAATATTTTTTAATTTTGGAATTCCACTACTGGATATTTGTAAATTATGTAAATATTATTAGATTTTTTTCCATAATATTTTTTAGAAAATAATGTACAATATTTACAATAGTTTTAAATTTAGAATTAGGATTTTACTAACCTTTTTTTCTAAAATTGATCATATTTCCACAGCTCGATATTAGTAGGTCTATTTTTGAAATAGGTACATGATGTATTTTTTTTATTCTAACGTCATGAACGTCAAAGTTTTATGAAATTTCTTATTATAATAATTTACTAGTACTGCAGAAAACGCGGTTTAGTAATAATTAAGTGCGAAATATGATTAAAATCATACAGCAATTGTAATAACAGTATTTTTTAACTTCAACCTTTTTATACAGGAGTATTAATTCTTGGTATAATTTAAAGACTGGTTGATTTACCATTTCAATAGGTACAATAAATAAATAAATAAGTAAAAAGTTCACACTTATATAACGATTATTTAAATTTAAAAAAAAATACGAAAGCTGAAATAAATGAGAGCCGTTCTCATTTATTTCAGCTTTCGTATTTTTCTCAATATGTACATAAAAACCCTATAAAAATTATTGCAAAATTATGGATTGTAAAAATACACACATTTTTGTTCTTAACAATATGTGACTAGTGTATACCATAGGCGGATTAACAGCTGGGCTTGTCTATGGCGCTCACCTTAACGGATTGTTTACACGACTGCCCAAAATAGGAGTGTTATGTTTTTAGGGTTCATTGTATTAATTATTATTTAACTGCATATTCTTTCCTCTTGACAATATTTTTATACTTTTTAGTTCATTTCAAATAAGATACGTTAGACAGTGTGTCAAGAATGGTTATGTGTGTAAAGAAGGTCTATCGTCCAAGTGGACTGCCGCGGCTTATTGATATTATTCCTTACCAGCAACTCTCGCGCGGTTTCACCCTCTACTCAGCTCCATTTAATCATAGCGTGATATTTTATAACCTATAGCACTCAGGAACATTGAAGCTATCTATCAGTGAAAGAATTTTGGCATTCCGACCAGCGCTTCCAAATATTACATATAAACTTACAAACATACAAAATTACAAACTTACGACAAATTTTACATCTTTATAATATTAGTAGGTATAGATTGCTGTTGAACCTGTAAATATTTCTACTGTAATTAAATTGCTGTATGTTCCCTAGTGTAACATATTTTAGAATAGAGATGGAGAACCTTTATCGACAAGTTATTTCAATTATTAGTTTGCAGTCAAGGATTATTAGGATAACTTTAGCAATTCGTTGGATGGCAATACTAAATTAATTGGATTCTCTTAATAATGTTATGTAGTAAATACTACGCCTTTGATCACATTTTGATTGAAGCTGCATATAATATTTAATCAAAGAGAAAACACGTTCATACTAACTTTTATTATTTAATAAATATGTTTCATTATGCGCTGAATTTTCAATAGTTCGATAAAAGTTATCTGTGTAATTATTATGATGCTGTCGAGTCAGAATGTTTGTATAAGACAGTGACAACAACAATTTTGAAATAGCTCTAAAAATACAAATCTTAAAGAGATAATTAAAATAAAAATTATCAACATAAATTTTTGACATACTAAATTAAACGAAAATATCTACTTACACTTCACGTGAGTTAACGGAATCGGCAGCGTTAAAGCGCACGTTGCTCATGTATTAGAATTTATAACTTGTAGAGATTTTTTCAATTAATTCACGTGAGTACCTAAGTCTTTATTTTCATATTGATTTCATATCTTGTCAAAGGTTCTCCAACTACTTAGAAAATAGTGTAAATGGCTTATATATCCTTTTGTTTGTGCATGATTTAACCCTAATTCTGCAGAGGTGTTCGAAACATTCCTACCTGACGCATCAGCCTCCGTGGCGGTACAATTCTCCCCTGGTAAGTTATACCCAAGAAATTTATGTAATGGACGCAGTGTTAGCTAGTTGATAAAGTGTTTGGTTTAAATTGTTTACTCCCTTGAGCTGTTTGAATTAAGGTCTATTTTACAATGAATCTGACTGAGTCTGAATAGCTATTTTGGACTACATATTATATTTAAATTTAGAATGTAATTTGAATTTTGTGTCACATTTGTTTAAGGAAATTATGTGTATTTGGAATTATTATTTAGAATATTTTTGCAATTCGCTTTTATTAAAAAACAATATAAAAAGCAGGAATTATTTACTTTCATTTCTTTTTAATTTCGATTGTATAATAAATAAGATTGGTGTGTGTTTCAAAAAAAGAACACCAATTACTTGATATAACAAATGTTCGACATCATTTTCTCTTCAATAATACCAAAATTAAATTCAAATAATTATAAAAATCAAACAACGTTTTAGCAGCACATCATATTTACCGTATACATTATAATATTTACTGTCAAAAATCTTATCCCAAATCCGCAAACACCATGAAAAGCTTTCACATAAAACATTTTACCTACACATGAACACATAAACGCTAAACGTCAAAAATCACGCCCGTCCCCAGACATTTCATTTCCAAATCCAGAGTAATCCCGCTCTTCAAATTCACGCCAGATCCGTCACTCAATTCTTATTATATCCCGAACAATAAATTACTAAGATACTCAAATTCTCGGAAATCCGTAATTTATTAAACGCGGTCTCTTGGGAATGGATAGATAAATGTCGTAGGAAATGTATACTAAATATTATTAATTGTTAAACAAAGCTGTTTATGATAAGAAAGCCTACACTGCCTCCATTACAGTTTGTCATTATATAAAGCGGATTGACGTGATGTCCATTCAGCTTTAGTTATATTATTTTCTGTCACTTAGCCATTATGATCGTCTACCTAGATTTTGGAATTTCTGTAAACGCTAGATTTAAGTGTACGCTTCTTTATTTTTTATATTCATACATAAGTAAAGGGAATTTATGTTTGTGAATAGAGTCATACAAGACATTTTGGCGTTCGATTGTTTGTTTTGTATTTTTTTTTATTAAGGCCTGATTTTTTAATTGTCAGATAAATGTTATCAAAGGAACATAATTGTTGCTGTCACTGTCTTATATAAACATTCTGACGCGACAGCATCATAATAATTCCCTAGATAACTTTTATCTTACTATTGAAAAATAAGCCCTAAGAGGAATTTTTGCGTTGTGTGTACTTACCTATTTTCTCTTTTCATTTTATTTTCATCTTTTTTTCTTTAAACTATTAGATTCTTTCGTGTTTAAAGTTCGAAATCCTCATTTTACACAGACCCGGAATAAGAACTAATTCTTATTCCGGGTCTGTGTAAATTTTTGAAAAACAAAGTATTATCCGTGTATTTAATTTCTGTTTTGTAAAAAACAAATACTAAAAACTCAATATACTTAGTCAATTCATATATTTTTTATAGAAAATAACTAACAATTTTGTTAGTGTTTGATGAATTACCTTGAGAACAATTCAAAATCAACGGTTGCTATCACTTAGGGTCGATTTCAATTCGTATTGTTGTGTACACCACACTCAACACCATGAACACACTATTCACTGAGTCGCGCCCTTTCGATGGCGAGAGAGAGTTATTTTGTTTTAAAAATCAATACAGTATTGCTATTACGATGACACACACATTTCAAATAAGCCGCGGATTGCATAAGAAACTTTTTAATAGTAAAGTCTAATATGTTTTACCCTAAAAAATATGTCATCTAGAAAATGACATAGGTACCTAAGGCTTATGACGAAATAAAGAATACGATTGATAAATGGGCAGAGCTTTTTGCTTTTGGCAGAGATTTTGATATTAACCTGCATCATTAAACAATATATTATAAATATATTTTGTACATACAAATCAAAAATAGATTATTTTTAGTTTTCCAGGTCGTTTGTTTCATTTGTATTTCCAGATAGTTGATCAATTTTACGTGTAATTGAACATAATCGAATATTGATAGATGTTTGATTAAATAAAGATATACATTACACTATGAAATAAGATTTTTTTTTAATAATAATGTGTGTTAAAGAAAATAGAGACAGGCCCGAACTGGAACGCGATTATTTAAAAAAGTATGCCTGTAAATAAAACTCTTTTTCTGTGATTTATAATGAGGCAGACAAATGTCATTTAAAACAAAACATAGATAGCTTATGTTTCTTTGGACATATTTATAAACAATTTTTGAATCAAATAAAAATCTAGTTGGTATAAAATTATATTCTATTGGTGATAGAATATCGATATCAAATATTTCAAACTGAACTCTACACCAAAATGTCAATGTAGTACCGAATAACTCGATAGATGGCGTTAGGATCGAGTTAAATCGCGATATGGTTTCGTTACACGGCAAATGGTATATTATTATAGTAATCATAAGTAAAACGTAAATTGTCTCGTTCTAAGATATTTATCTTAGTATAATATGAGTACAAGGTATCTTTCCAGATACCTTGTACTCATATTATACAAATTGTGTCAACTGTATTTCAAATAACAATGCAGATTATACATAAATAACAGTCGACAATAAACAACGGAACGTCAAATGTCTCGATTCTGACATACTACTCTCGCTTCATCCACATTCATCAATCTTGTCATCGTCATCCATACTCATCAGCGTTTTCATCCATATTCATTAGTAGATGGTGCTTTCAATTGTCTGTATTATGTCTGTATGTTTCTTAGATTTGAAGGTAAGTTGGGTATGTGATTTTGTAAATAATATGTAATAATAGTTATTTTGTGTTTTGATAGTTAGCCTGTAAATGTACATACATTATGAACTTGTATGTAATTGGGTAGTTTCCATTGTCAAAAATAAATTAATTCGACGTTACACTACAATTAAATATTGACAAATAACTTTATCGGCCTTATTACAAAACAAGGTTTTACTTTAGTCTAGGACTAAATCATTGAGCCAGTTTTTGTATTTCGAATTGAAGGTAGATGACAATAAGATTCAAAATTCATAACCCGACTCAATGGTTTAAACCTGGACTAAAGATAAATCTTGTTTTGTAATAAGGGGGTATGAGTTTAGTTATGTTTCATATCTTTCATCGATCTGTCGATACATTAAGAAATAAGTAAGCTGTTTGTATTCATAATTTGGAATTTCCTAGAAAAGTATTGTTTTTGATATTTTGTTTAAAGTATTGAATTTGACTAGTTGGAAACTACCTTATTATTGTTGGTATATAATATTAGTAAATTTTGCTTGTGTTTTAGTACAGTTTGGTAGTGTTATGATATTTGTGTGTGCTATTTTGGTCTCTACTTAGTATTGTTTTAGTGTATATTTTGTGTAATAGGTACATAAATGACTTCAATATAATTATGATTTTATATTGTCTGTATTTTTAAAGAGACTTGATGACTGTTGAGTTTGTATTTGCGTTTCTTCTTAGAGTATTCAAATAGGAAAATCTGGTCTTGTCTATAAAATTTTATAATGTTGGCGTGTCAACGTGCAGATTTTTTTTACAAAAATAATCGACTATAAAAAAATTAGTCCTTTACTGTATGTCACTTAAGCTGCATTCACATTTTTCCAGTAACCATGACAATATTTTGTTTTTTATCTGTGTAGTTAATTTTTTACAGAAAGCTAAACACTTCTGAAGTGTAGGTACACGAAGTCATTTGAAATTTAAGTTTTACTATATTCATATAATTCATACGTATAACCTTTAAAACAAAAATGAGGTTCCACACTTAATCACCAAATTTCCTGGAAAACATTCCATAAATTATGACCCAATAAATTTCAATACATCGCAACGAACAATCATACGAGTACGGGGTTCGTACTTAATGAAACGAAATAAAATCGATCACCATATATAATAAGACTTCTCTTACAATTTGACGAATATTATATAACGGTTAAGGTTCAAAATTGCAATTGCTCATTACCAATGCGAAAATGTGTAACACTACTTTGTCATACCAATTCAAGAATCTATACACTCAATAATTACTTAACTATCCAAACTTTGCTACAAATTAATCAATCAAGGCCGACCATGACAATCTTCAGTGTGGGAGAGCCATGCTTCGGCACGAATGGGTCGGCTCGACCGGAGTGATACCACGGCCTCACAGAAAACTGGCGTGAAATAACCACTGCGTTGTGTTTCGCCGTGTGAGTGAGGTTACCGGAGGCCCAATCCTTCCCCTTCCCCAATCCCTCCTCAATCCCTAAATCTCCAAATCCCTAATCTCTTAAAGGTCGGCAACGCACTCGTAACACCTCCGTTGCGAGTGTCCATGGGCGGCGCTGATTGCTTACCATCAGGTAATCCGTCTGCTCGTTTGCCGACCTATTACATATAAAAAAAAAACCCTCCTGCCTCGCCTGTATAACAATGTCCAATAGGTTCATTGATATATTTAGACCGTGCACATTAAATTAATCCTTTTAGATACTCCGATTAGGTTTAATCATGTGTGGTCCCGTGGCAAGCGATAGTTCCTTTATACAGCTTCGATGTTAACATTTTGTGGTGCAGTTGCGTGGTAAAATGCTTTGTAATGGCCCGTAGCGTACATGGTGTTCGCGTTTAGCATGCATTATCTATAGGATGTTTCTGATTTAAAGTAGAAAGTTTTATTAAATTATGTCAATATATTTGTTGCAAAGAATAGCTGGTTTGTTTTAAAAACTGTTTAGAAGAAAGGTTGGAAATAGGTAAAAGGATTTTTTTCATCAGCAAAAAGACGTTCCTTAATGAACAAAAGCATACAAGCTTAATAAGAACCCTAAACGTTCCGAGATATGTTAAATCTCGGTTTTTAGACCGTTCATGTTTCTATTTTGAGTTGACCGTATTCAAGATCTTAACATTGAAACGTGCTAACAAAATCATTAAAATAAAATGTGTAAGTACTATATTATGCTATAAAACCA